CGGGGAGTGGATTCGCGCTGGGGACGGGCAGGAGAGGCGGGGGGGGGGGCGGCCGGAGCGTCCCCGGGACAGGGCTCTTGAGAAAGGACGTAGCTGGACTCTCTCCTTGCCCCACCCCCGCGTCTCTACTGTCATTGTCGGGGGACCTGCCTGCGCCGCTGCCACTTTGTCTACAGAGACTTCCCGTCTGGTTCATCTCATGCGTTTTTATCCCTGTTCCCTCCCATCCGCCCACCTGCGCCCACCTGCCCTCTGTCCGTCCATCTGTCCCTCTGCTCGTCCCCCTGTCCGTCCGTCGGTCCGGTCAGTCGCCCGCCTGCTCATCTGTCCACCCGCTACCTGTCACCTGCCCACGTACACGCCCGCCCATCCGCACCTGTCTGTCCTGCCGTCTTCATCCCTCCACCCCGTTCCACGCCGGCGTCGGCCGGCCGGCCTCCACCTGGTCAGGTCGCTGCGCCCGCCGTCTGGCCGCCGGGAGGGCAGACCCCCGCCCCCACCCCCGGCACAGCGTTTCATGATGGGAGAGCGAGTGGTCATGAAGGAGCGAACTGGCTGACCTGGCGCGGAGGGGGACGGCGGGAGGCCTTCAGTGACACGGGGGTGTCAGCTGTGACTCCCTCCTGGGGTCGCTGCGAGGATCCTCGGCTCGGCGCCTGGCACGCAGTAGGTCCAAAGCTGAGACATGGGAGGAGGAGGAGTCTCAGCTTGTGTGGGCCTCCGTCTCCCCCCCTGCGAGCGTGGGGTCTGCCGGCACCGGCCTGGACGGCTGGGGGGTCGGAGCAGGTTGCGTGGGAGCCCCCTGATTTCCGATTTCAGGCGGAGGGAGCGAGGTGCCCGTGGGAGGTGTCGGGGGACGGTGAGCGTCCAGGGGGCGTGCCCGCTCCAGCGTGCGGCTCGCGGCGTCCCGCGGGCCCCGGGCCTCCTGGCGGCCCGGATTCGGAAGCCTGGCCGCTGTGCCGTGGGTGCCCCCGTCGGCCGTCCTCCCTGACAGACGCCCCCCACGCCGGGACGAGGGCACCGCGGCTGAAGACGACCCTGGGGGTGAGCAGTGACCCGGGCTGGGAACGTGTCTGCGCCGGGCACTGAGGCAGACACCCAAGGGGTGGACAGCCGGCCTGCGGCCCCGTGGCCCTCGTGGACGCGCAAGTCCGCTGGGCTGCATTCCAGACCCTTTGCGCAGTCTCCGCAGCTGGACGTTCAACTGGACAGCCTTTCACCCCTCCTTCTACACGTGGGGAAACTGAGGCCCGGAGGGCATCACCTCCTGAGTCCTCCGCCGGTGGTGGCTGGGCCCCGGGGGTCAGACGCTGAATGTGTTGATCCTCTTGCTCCCTCATTCACTCATGCACTCCGTGCCTGGTGGCGCCCGCCTTGGGCCAGGCGCGGGGACGAACCCAGAGGTGCGGGGACGGGCCGGCCTGAGGCGTGGGGAGGGGGCTCTGCCCAGGGCCGTGCGGCCAGCAGCGGGGGGAGGGTCGTGGGCTGCCTGGCGGCTTTAGGGAGACAGGGCCCCATCCTGTGAGCACGAGCTTTTTGGGGGAAAGGCTCTTTGGAGATGTAACGATATTAACGCTCCTGAGAAGAGATCGTCCTGACGGCCCGGCGGACCGTCCATCTGATGACAAGTGTTCTCCTGAGGGACACACAGGGGCCTGGGGGTGGGGGGAGGAGAAGGCCAAGCAGGGACGGAGGCAGACGCCCTGCCCCCGCCCCCGCCCCCGCCCCGGGCGCTCAGCGAGCAGCGTGGGCTCGGCTCCCCAGCCCCCACGTGAGGGCTCCGGCTTGTTGCTGAGGGGTTTGGAAACGCTCTCTGCAGGGGTGCGCAGTGATTTTCTGTCGGTGGAAGTGGGGGTGCACGGAGGCTCGGCCCGAAGGTGGGGAGAAGCGGAGTGGGGGGCCGGCCGTGGGGGCCCGGCACCGGGAAGCCCCCGCGGGCCTGGGTGGCCTTGGGCAGGTCCCTGTGGGTTCTGCGACGCTTTCCTGTCCTCAGGGGTGGTACTCCAAGCGTAAGCGCCCTGTGCGGGTAGCGCCCGGTGGCTGAGGGGGTTCCCTGCCCTGGGGAGAGGCCGGGGTGCATGCAAGGGAGCCTCAGAGGGGGTGGGGGGCTGTGCCCTGCTTGTGGGAGAGGACAGCACTGCACCCCCCGCCCCCGCCGCCGGCTGTTCCTCTTCAGAGCATCTCCCTCCTCCTCGCTGGGGCCCCGGAGCGAGGACAGGCAGCCTGGCTGCGCTGTGGGGACACTCGGGGGTCTCCGCCGGGTGGATGCTTCCCGCTCCTCGCTCAGCACCTGGCCTCGCCTGCCCGCTGGCCCCCTCCCCTGCCGACCCCAGCGTCATCGCCAGGCCTGTGGCCGTGGCTTCACCGCGGTGTCCCTGCCCACGTGTGCTTACCTGGTTTGAGATCCTGGTGGTAGCCCCCGGGCCCCACGGAACTACTGCTGCACCTGGCCCTTCAGCTCCTTCCTGGCCGCCGCCGCTGCCGCCTCACTGAGCCCGCACATCCCCCAGGGCGCAGGGCGTGCGGGGTGGGGGGGTGGCGGGGCGGGGGCTGCCTCTTGCCCCCGTGTATCGTGACCACGTGCAGCATCCCCTTCCCCGACCCCGCGCGTCCCCGACAGGCCCAGCCCCGTGGGAAGCTCATCCACCCTGCATTGCAGGCGGCCCCACAGTGCACCTGGGGGGGCAGGTGGTTCTCCCACGTCACGGGTGAGGTGACTGGGATCAGACACTCACCTCCCTTGGCAAGTTCACGGCCTAGGAAGCCGCGCGGCCAGCGCCAGTCCCCCCGTCTGGTACGAGGCTGGAATTCCAAACCCTCTACCAGGCTCGGCTCTGCAAACCGGCTCCCCGCCACCTGCTGGGAAAAGCACCCCCCGCCCCCGGTGTCCCGGGCCAGGACCGCCTATGCCCAGAGCCCCCCCTCTGCCCTCCGTGCCGCTGCGGCCTCCCTGGGCCCTGCAGCCCCGGGTGGCCTTCGGGGTGGCACCGGGCCGCGCCCCCCGCCCCCACGTGCTGGCCCGCCCGCGCTCGGTGCAGCTGAGAAAAGCCCCGTGACCGTGGCCATGCCTGGACCGTCGGCTTTGACAGTCGGCTGAGCCGCGGAGAGCCGGTTTCGATCCGCGCACCCGAGGCCTCCCCGCCAGTTAGTGGGCGGCACCCAGGAGGCTTTTCAATAATGACACGGGCCAGCTGGGCTCTACAGGCTGCGCTTTCGATGTGCCTTTTAGGTCGGCCAGGCGGCGGCTTCCCGCCCGGTGCCGGCGGGGGTGCTGGCCGGCCTGCCAGGCCCCTCCGCCCCCGTGGCCCCTCCCTTGCCCGGCGCCCACCCCTTGGCCCGGCTGCACCTGGTGCCAGGCCTTCCCACCGCCCGGCCCGGAGAATTCGGAGGCCGGTGCAGAGCGAGACGCTGAGCGTGGCCAGGGGCAGAGCCCTGCTGGGGCCCCTCGGGCACCGTGGGGCGCGCTCCCTCCAATGTCCCGAGGGCTCAGGGAGCCAGGCGCTCGGGGCAGCGCTGGGACGTTGGGGGGCAGCCACCCCCGTGGGGCTGGGTGGCCGCGAGGCCGAGGCTGCTCTCGGGGGCTGGTCCTGCCCCCCAGGCCGGCCAAGGGGGGCGCAGGGCCCCTGTCCTGCTTCCTGTGAACACGGGCTGCGGAGACCGCTCCCCGGGGACCCCGCCCCCCGCCCCGTGCGTGGGAATTCCTCTGCCCTCCCCGCCCGTGCCCGGCGAAGGGTAGAGAAGGGAGCAGGTGCCCCAGCCTGGCTCTCTCCCACTGGAGACGCCAAGGGGGCGTGGGAAGCGAACGCCCTGTGCCGCGTCCTCTGACGGGCGCCCGAGGTCTGGGTAAAGGGTCAGGGCCGCGTGCCTGCCCCCTGGCCGGTACCTCCCGGGGGCCAGAAGCTTTGTTTCCAGGCGACCGGCTCCTTCCTAGGCTCGGGGGGCGTGGCTCTGTGGTGCGTGGGGGCCAGGTGGCAGCGCTGACCCTGTGGGCCCCGGGCACGGCTGGAGGGGCCCCTGTTGTCATGGAAACCCAGGGGCCCCCCCCCGGGGCTGGTCGTCCACTGTTACCTTCACCAGAGCCGTTCGTTGGCGCGTGGATGCGGGTCCAGGGCCAAGGAGGAGGCGACACGGGGGAGCCAGCGGTTAGAGACAGGTGGCCGCCCCGGCGGGCGGCTGAAGTGGGGCAACGCGGGCGCTCAGCGCGGGGCGGGGGGTCGCTGCTGGGAGAGGAGGGTCCGCAGTGCCTGGGGTGACGACCGTGGGCCGCGGGAGGGGACTCGCTCCCCGTGAGGGTGCGGCCCTGGCGACTCCAGCCATCCAGCCGGGCACCCTCCACGCGTGGCTGGGAGGGACCCACCCTGCGCCTCCGGGCTCGTCCCCGCGGGCTGCTGCTCCCAGGCCCCCTCTACCAGCGGGGGGCCCCGGGGCGGGAGGAGGCAGGTTCGTGGACAAAAGGCCCGAACGCGTCTCAGAACGAGTTCTGACCCCAAGCCGCCCGGCGAGCACCCCTCTCCGCACTCTGCCATTGTCCTCTGTCCCCCAGACGCCCCGCCCTTCCCTGCCGCTTCCCTCCCGGGTCCTGCCCCCCTGGGCGGGGGAGCTGGCCGCCGGCAGCTGACCCCCGAGTGCTGCGCTGGCAGGTGCTTGGGGAGCCCCCACGCATGCCCCGCTCCTGGGACTCCCCTGGAGCGTGGGGGCTGCTCGGTCACATGGGACGAAAGCGTCCTGCCTCCCCGACCCCGCGGCCTCGTGGGCCCCAGGGGCCTGGGCGCAGGCGGAGGGAGAGACTCCGCAGACGCCGCGTGGGTCTCCCGCTCGGGGCGCGTCTGCCGGGCCGGCCGCGTGACGCAGGAGGGCGTCCTCCACGCGAAGCAGGCAGAAGCCCTCGCTCCTGCGGCGGAGCCCAGCAGGGGCCCTGGGGTGGGGGCCGGGCGGGGGGCCGGTCGTGCGGGCCACGCCTTTGACGCCTGCTCACCTCGCTCTCCTGTCTCCTCCCGCAGGCCTTTCCCCTCAGAGGAGACGGCGGAGAATGACGAGGACGTCTACCGCAGCCTGGAGGAGCTGGCTGAGTACGGGCCGGCGGGAGAAGGGCGGGGCGGGCGGGGCGGGCGGGGGCGGGCGGGAACGTGGGCGCCGTCCCGCCCAGGCTCCGGCCCTGCCCTGGATGCGTCGTCCTGACCAGCGTGGGGTCCCCCAGCGGAGCGGGCACGGGGCTTCTGCACGCTCGCACACAGGACCGCTCCTGCACCTCCCGCCTCCCCCCACGCCTGCCAGGCCCCCCAGCCTGCCTGGGGTCCCAGGGGAGTGGTGCTCCTCCCCGGCCAGGCCACGCAGCAGGCCGAGTGGCCGGGCTGGCGGGAGGAGGGTGTGGGTGTTCCCGCCGCAGGACCCGGGAACACAGGGAGCGGGCGGACCCAGGCGGACCCCGGTGGACCCTGGCGGCCTGGTGGGGCAGGCGTGGGGCTGAGCCCAGCCACTGAAGCCGCCGGCGTGTCTCCGTCTTCGTGGGGCTGTGTGCCTGCTTTGCCCCGCTCTGCGAGGACCGCCTTGCTGCGCCCACACGCCGCCGGGCCTGGCCGCGCATCCTGGGCTGTCCACCTCATGGTGCTGGGGCCTGAGGGACCGGCGGGAAGTCTGGGGCGGGGGGCTCTTCCTGAAGAGATCACCCGCCTCCACTGGGTCAGCCGGGGCTGGGGTGGCGTGGGCTGCGTGGCCTGCTGCTCAGGGAGGGGCTGGCAGCTTCCCCGCGGAGGGGCCGTGGGTGCAGGAGGCAGGGGTGCCTGTCCTGCAGGAGGGAGGCCTGGGACCCGGGGAGGGGATGGGCTTGCCCAGTCCCGGGGCGGCCCCTGCTGGCTCCGACCTGCCTGGCCGCCGCCCTCAGGCCAGGCTGAGAGGCCTTCGCTGGCTCCCTGCTGATGGGGGGCCTCCCTCTGGCCTGACCGTGTGCTTTTTTTGGTCCCAGATAAAAGGAGGCCCTTCCGAGAAGGCTCCCAGTGTCCGTCTTGGCCTTCCCCTCACAGCGCAGGCCGGGATGGAGCCGGCGCTCACTGGGCGCTGCTGCACGGGGGTCCACGCCGCCGCTGGCGTGTGGGGCTGGGCTGGCGCCTTCGGTATGACCCTGTCTATTCGCTCAACCTGAGCCGCCCAAAGCCCCGAAGTCTGCACTGTGCGGGGGCTGATTCTGTGAATGAAACTCCAGCGGCAGCAGCTGCCACCAGCCCACCTCCCTGGGAGGGGGCAGGCCCCGAGCCCGCAGGGACCCCATGGGGGTCCTGGAGTCCAAGGGCGTCTGGTCGGCCCCACGAGGGTCGGCGGGGGGCATGGGGCCCGGGGTCCGTGCAGGTCACAACCAGGGCCCGGGGCAGCCCACCTGAGCCGCTGCCCACTCTGACCAGTCCCGGAGTCAGAAGGTCGGCAGGAGGGGCGGCTCAGCCCCCGCAGGGGTGAGGAACCCGGCTCGAGGGGCTCGGCCGGAGGGCAGGCTCCCGGGGCTGGACTGCTTCCCACCCCCGCCCCCCATCGGCGTTTCCCACCCCTCGTGCGCCAGGCCCAGGCCCGAGTGCGCCCCGCTCTGGGAGACGCCGCCTGCCCTAGCCAGCCAGCCAGCCAACCGGCGTCGCCCCGCCCCCGCCCGCCGAGCACCCCCGCCTGTCAGCTGCCCGTGGGGTGCGCTGCGGTCAGATGGCTGTACACCGGCCTCCGCAGGCGAGAAGGCTCCTGCGATCCGGCCTCGTGCCTGTCACGCACGCACACCCGTCTGGCCCTTGAGGGGCGTGGGCTGTGCCCACGGCACCGGCAGGCCCCGAGTGACCGTGACAGCGATGCGGAGGCGCCCACAGGCCCTGCCGGCACCGCCGCTCCGGCAGCCGCTCGGCCCCAGTTGCTCTGTGAGGGCTGCTCTGTGGCCGCCCCCGTTGCAGACGAGGAGACTGAGGCTGCGAGAGGGGAAGCCCTGGTCCATGTCACCGGCCTGCAGTCAGACCCCAGGTCCGCGCCCCAACCTCGCGACCAGGCAACGTTGGGGTCCCCAAGAGCCTGGGCAGCGCCCCCATCCCGTGCGAAGGAAGGGTCCGTCACGCTTTGCCGTTTCTCCCAAGACCCCAACCTGAGGATGGGAGTGGGTGCCCTCCGGAGACCTCCCTCCTCGTGCAGCCGGGACGTGGCACGAAATACCCCTCCGCGCCAGCCAGGGACCCCTCGGCGGCCACCCCGGAGCTCCTGCCTGTCCCCCCGTGGCTCGTGGGCACGGCCAGCTTTGAGGGTCCCTGTGCGGTGAGCCGGGCAGCCGCGACCCGGGCGCCCCCGTTCCTGCCCTGTCTGCCGTGACTGAGCTGCGGAACCGGCACGGAGGACGTCCCCCATCCTGATGGCGCTTCTGGGGCGGGGCCCGGGGGCTTCACGCGGCTCCGTGACATTATTTCATGGCGTTTAAGAGCGAGCCTTGGACTCCGGCGAGCTCCTCGCAGCTGCCGTTATTGCAAACATAAATCAGGACTCGTAGGGATGGGATGAATCTGAGTCTTTAACTCGCCGTTTGGTCCCGGCGGCTTCACTTTAATCAATTTTTCATGCTTCATCCCCCGTCTCCTTCCACGGAGAAGCGCGGTTGCCCAGCATCCCGGCCCCGTGGGCCGGGGCTGATGTTACCCGTTGTGGCGGTTTACGAGGCCAGCAGCGGTGCCGTTTCCCACCTGGCCGCTGCGGGGGGCGGGCGGTGTGGCGCGGCCGTGTGGCTGTGCGGCCGTGCCCGTCCGGCCATCTGTCCATCCGTCGAGGCTGCGCTGGGCCAGTGCCTCATCACCGCCCCCCCCTCCGCCCCCGCCCGGCAGCCAGGAGCCGGGGAGCGGCAGGCTGAGCAGGACCCGCCCCTTCTTCCCTTGGGGCTCTTGGGCAGGTGTCTTGATCTGCCACTCTGTGGCTCTTCGGGGACCGTCAGATGTGGCGTCCACGTGCCGCGCGCTCTCCCACGCAGTGAGCCTGGTGTGGCTCCCGGGGCGCCGGCGAGGGGCCGCCGTGGGCGAGGGGCCCGACATCGGCGTCCGTCCGTCCGTCCACTCATTTGGTCGTTCACTCGTGTTTTAGTCCGGCCGCCGGTTGGTTCCTAAGTACTTCCAGGGTTTGCGGGTGCTCCGGGCATCGGGGCCGGGCTGTAGGGGGGCTGCGGGTCCCCCACGTGGCCCCTCCCAAAGTCCCTCTGAGAGGCCGTTGGGACCGGGGGTGTGCAGGGCCCTCACAGCCCGCGGGGTGTTGGGGCCCCGCGGCCTCAGCCGCCAGCACAGCCTGCAGTCCGAGCTGCCCCCCGCCCACTGACGTGGGACCGTCTGGCTGCCCCGGGTCCGTCGAGTCCTACTCGGCTGGCTTCTGGCAAGCTGCCCACCGTTCTGCGCCTTGGTTTCCGTGTGTGCGGCGTACAGCGTCTGGCTCTGCCTCGGGGGCTGTGGGGAAGGCGGCCAGCGACGTCACGGGCAGCACGGCCCCGGCCAGCTCTCAGGCAGGGACCGTGGGTCCCGTCCCCACCCCTCCCCCACTCCTTGTTTTACCAGGACCGTGGCCTTTCTCCCGGGTCCCGAATGGCCTGTGGCCAGGCCGTCCGGAGAATCTCCCATGGGCCACATGTGGGACTGTGAATTTCCTATCTAAAAAAGAAAGAAACAAGTGGACTCAATGCTAAGGATGTATTTTCATTTAACCCAGTGTATTAAAATGTTTTCTGGCTGGACAGTGACCCGCTGCACCGATTGTTAGTGAAGTGGCTGGTGTCCCCCGTGTGACCAAGCCCAGCCCGGGAGGGCGCGTGCCTGGGGGCTCACGGCCGCGGGGGCCGCGGGGGGCGGGGGGCTGTGCGTGGGCAGCGCGGGTCTGAGGTCCCGGAGCCGGAGCAGAGCCCCCCCGGGCCTGAACCGATGACACTGGACGAAGGCAACGTCCGCAAGGGCTCTACGCCCACATCGGCAGCCACTGAATAACGTGCAATTGAGTAAGAGAGCAGCTGGTGGGAAAAACCGGACACAAAATACTGCCGGTTGAAAACGCTTTGTCAAGCAGACAGGGAGGCCTGTCTATAAACCGCGCTGACGCTGACGCTGAGTGCTTTGCCTTCGCAGGAGGGCTGGTCCCTCCCTGAGACCCCGCCCCCTCCATCCTGGGGTGTTGCTGGGAGCCTGGGGGTGCGCTCCTTCCCTCTCGCACATGCCTGAGTCCTGGGCCACCGGGGCTGGCTGCCTGAACTGGGGGGAGCGCCCCTCGCAGGGCTGGGAGGGAGGTGGCACACAGCGCGGGCGTGGCGCCGTGGGAGCCCAGAGCGGGGCTGGGTAGCCACCAGCTTGGGCACCCGGGAGGGCTTCTCAGAGGAGGGGACAGCTGGGCCGTGGAGCCCAGGTAGGAGCTGCCGCAGGGCAGGCTGGGACCCCAGCCGTCTTGCGCCGGCCTGGCAGGGCCCAGTGCCCCAGGGAGCGGGAGGCGGGGCGTGGCGGGGGGCCGGGGAGCGAGGCAGGATCCCCTGCCCAGGACCTAGGGGTCCCCAGCTCAGAGGCGCGCCTTCGCGTCGCCCTGTGGAAGTACAGCGCCGTTTGCGACGCTTCACGGGGTTTGCGAGAAACCTGAGCTACCGAAGCTCCCTGGGACCCTGGTGGGGACGACTTCCCTCCCCGGAGGAAAGCGGCCCGCGGGGAAGCCCCGCCGCCTCCCGGCCAGGGAGTGACCGGTGACCGAGCGGCCCCAGCTGTGCCGAGGCGGCTGGGAAGGCGGCCTCCGCCTGCCGGAGAGGGGGCCGTCCCCCCGGGTGGGTGACAGCCGAGCTGAGTCCACCTCGGCCGTGGCGGCCCCGTGTGGCGCTCCCGTGTTCCGCCTCCCCTGGGCACGTGAAGGCCTCAGTTTCCCCGTCGTCTCTGAACGGAAGCGCCCGCCCAGAGGCAGTTCCGTTGGGGTAATTTTTTAAGGTGCACAAAATGTAGCAGGAGTCTCTGAGCTGATGCTGCCTTCACGGGGTGGGGTGGGCAGCTTCTCGGGGCGGGACCTCCTTGTGCTGGGAAGTGAGGCAGGGACCCAGGTCGCTGTGGGGGCCTGCTTG